CAAACTCAGTGTCTTTGGTTTGGCAGGCCATGATAAATCAGGAAGAATACTGAAGATTTTTCTGGGGGGTGATAAACTAGAAAGGGGCTTCATTTTTATACTATACATGGAGTCAATCTGAATTATGCCAATCACTACACCAATCATTAAAACTGCTGTTTTGTAATTACAATCCTCAGTGATTACAATAATTCAAGAGGATGAAATAGTTGTTTAAAAATTTCAAGGACAAAAGACAGATTACTTTTATGTAACATCCCTAATCTTGGTTTCCTTTTTTCCCTGCAAAGCAGTTACTGAATCACAAGTACTGCTCCAACAAGACTTTATATTTAAAAATATAGGTAAAGGAATAGGTATGTTCGTTAGATAAAATTAGTATTTTTCTCCCTATTACTCGGTTTTCTCATCAAACTAAAGCCCAGAGTTTACAAATAATGTTAATTTTCTCTCCTACAAAACAATGTTAAATATAGTCCTTTTAATCTATTAGAAAATTAACAATCTTCTGAGTTTCAATGAGACACATAAGAAAAATGATTTATAGTTAACTGTTATAAACACATAAAAATGGGATTCATAGAAGTATTACAATACCAAAGTTACAAAAGACATTGTAAGGACTGAGGAAAAAAAACACATTCTAAATTTTCATCATTCCCAATTATATATTCAGTGCTTTCCAAATGACTACTCAGGTTAAAAGACCAAGAGATCACAAGAATATGTCTGCAATCCAAAAACACTGACAATTTACACTAAGCCCAATTTCTACCAAAAGAAAACAAAACCCTTAAGTGTATATATATTAGTTCTTGCCCTTTCTGATCTGTAATCTTTTTGTTAATGAATGAATGAATGAATGAATGAATGAATAAATAAATAAAGTAAGTTTATTTAGGTGTTTTTCTTTTTTAGGGCCTATATAAATTTTGGACAACCATGATGCAGTTAATTGGAGCTCAAAGAAACAAATTAAAAATACAGCTTTTGAAGACACTGCTGTGCCCCCCCCCCAAAAAAAAAGAGAGAGAAAGAGAGAGAGACAGAAGAGATAGAACAAGGAGAACACAACTCGCAGAAAAACTCGTTACCAAGTTAGCAGAGAATATTGACTTACAGCTATTTAGTACTATCTGTGTTGGTGAGTCATCAGCTTAAATCAATACATATATGAAAAACTCAGTAGTGAACAGAAGTGGTCCTTTGTATTAGGCATTGTTCTAGAGTTAAGTGACAACAAACTAGTTCTCTTAACAGAAGGACTTTAAAGAGGCATAACTGGTTTCAAATAAATTTTTAAGTAGAAATAAATCCCAAACGCACAATGGTTCAAAATGTCTATAAGGGTCCCTAGACAGTTTGAATTTAGAATTCTTTATAGGAAAATATAACTTTATCTTCTTCCAAATGTTATCACTATCCTGTGAAAAAATATGATTATTCATGGGATGAGCACTGGATGTTATATATGTGATGAATCACTAAATTCTATTCCTGAAATCATTATTACACTGTATGTTAATTAACCTGGATTTCAATTAAAATAAATAAACATGATAATTTTTTAAAAATGTGCTTAGTCAATTCAGTAATGCTATGAGATATGGTAAGAATGATTCTAATTTTTTTTTTCTAGGTTTATCTATTTTGAGAGAGACAGAGAATGGGGGGAAGGGAAGAGAGAGAGAGAGAGAGAGAGAGAGAGAGAGAGAGAGAAGGAGACTGAATTCCAAGCAGGCTCCGCCCTGTTAGCGCAGAGCCCAACACAGGGCTCAACCTCACTGAACTGTGAGATCATGACCTGAGTGGAACCAAGAGTCCTACGCGTAACCGACTGAACCACCTGGGTGCTCCTGGAATGATTCTAAATAAAAAGGACCAGGGAAAGCTTTTTGGAAGCAAGGAATCCACATTGCACCTTAAAGGATGGGTGGACCCTTGTTAGGCAAATGGAGGAAAGGCATTCCAGTCACAGGGAAATGACTCAAGCAAAAGCAAGGAGGTAGGAATGCACAGAATGTGTGCCCAGGACAAGCACACTGGATTAGGAGTAGGAAAAGACAAGTCTAAGAAGGTACTAAAGTGTACCTCATGATCTCACAGTTTCCTGAGTTCAAGCCCTGCATCAGGCTCTGTGCTGACAGCTCAGAGTCTGGCACCTGCTTCAGACTTTGTGTGTGTGTGTGTGTGTGTGTCTGTTTCTCTCTCTCTGCCCGCCCCCTCAAAAATAAACAAACATTAAAGTATTAGGGGCTGTGAATATATATGTGGCCTTGTATTTAACCCTGTAATTTTTTCAACGAAGGAATAACAAAGTTGGGTCTGTGTTAGTAAGATAAACTGGCAGCAATGCATACGGTAGAACATGGAGAAAGAAGACAGATACTTCAAAAAATTCTAGAAGCGGGGCACCTGGATGGCTCAGTCGGTTGAACATCCAACTTCAGCTCAGGTCATGATCTCATGGTTCCTGAGTTCAAACCCTGCTTCAGGCCACAGCTGTCAGCTCAGAGCCTGCTTCAGATCCTCTGATCTCTCTCTCTCTGCCCCTCTCCCACCCATACCCTCTCTCTCAGAAATGAATAAACATAAAAAAAAAAAAAATTCCAGGAGTACCTGGGTGGCTCAGTCAGTTTAGCATCCAACTCTTGGTTTCAGCTCAGGTCAAGATGCCACGGTGAGTTCGAGCACCTCATAGGGCTCTCTGTGCTGACAGCAGGGAGGCTGCTTGGGACTCTCTCCCCTTCTCTCTTTGCCCCTCCCCTGATTGCTCTTTCTCTCAAAATAAAATAAATAAACTTTAAAGAAAAGTTTTGGAATAATTCCAGAAGCAACTACTGAATAGGAAATTTTCTCTTGTCATCTCACAACAAACACCAAGCAAATTGCTTTGCACATAATTGATGGTCAACAAACTTTTGATTTCTTGCCTGTGAAGAAGAACTATGAAGTGGCAAAGAATCCTAGAATAGTGAGAAAACTGGGCCTTAACACATATCTGCTCCACAGTAAAGAGTAAATTCATATTCATGTAAATACCTCAGAAAAGTTTTACTCAATTTTTTACTGTCTTTATAAAATAGATGATTAAAGGATATTGAAAGTGTTACATGATTTAAAAGGTCCTAAAAGGAAGACAGTTGTCCTAAAAGGAGGACTGAAATATTTCTGCATGGTTACCAACACACAACACCTAAAGGCATCTTAAAAGTGAATTATGTCCCTACAAATGGAATCCAGAGATCTGGAGGAGATTTAAACAATCGCACAGAAGCAACACAGCGAGGGCTCTGGGATCAGGCCACAGTTTGAATCCTAGCACAGTGACTTATTAGTTACGTGATATTGAGCTAGTTAAACTCTTAGAGTTGGTTTGGGCATAATGACACTTATCCAACATGTGTTGTGATGATGAGAGATAGGATTTATAAAGTACCTAACCCAGTGCCTGGCTCTGGTACTTAACAAAAGTATAAAGTATAGTAGCAATAATGATAGATGTCATTTTTTTAAATGTCTACTATTAGACTAATCTAAATCCGCATCAGGTTTTTGAATTCCAGAAAATTACCAAATTTTACTCTTTGGGTAAATCTCAGACATATTCTATGCTTAAGTACAAGGCCATTTACAAAATCACTATAGGCTATCTTCGTTGTAATTAGCCTAGCACCAAGTCTGGAATTTATATTAAAATATAATATTTGTAACACTTCATGCCTGACTTAATAACATTAGAAAATACAACTAAACTGCTGATCTAGCCAAAGCAGATTTGGGGGGTAATGATTCTACAGCAATATCGTACAACTTTTTACTTTGTATCTGCTCCACTGCTTATATTATAAATAACAGCCTAAAGAAAGAGCTTGCCCGAAAGAATCCACGGTAAGGTGTAAAGCAGAGGAGGTCCGAGACTGTCCCCGTCCCGAGCCCTCACTCTTCTCACACCCGCCCGGGTCAACCAACAGCGACCGTCCTTTGTTTAGAAGGAGGCAGCAGAAAAACCAACTAAAGCTGTTTCTCCAACAGAGACAACCCTAGCAAAAGTGGTTTTTATCTGAGGTAATCACAGCGGTGGTTATCAGACCGGAAATCTTCGCGCACCCTCCTAAAGTGGCATCCTGAAAATTCAGCTGGGTTGGTACATTAACCCCCCACACACACCACGAGAGCTTCCAACACAAGCCGGCAGAAAGGAAAGCCAAGAACCTACTCCGCTTAACTCTGTGGCAGGCTTAAATTATGCATGAAGGCAAATAAAATTGCCACCCTTACTCGTTTTCTTCACTTGATCTTAGCCAAAAGGCCGAGAAGCGATCCTTACTCGTTTTCTTGAGCAGAGTTCAAATGCTACTAGTTAACACGATCTAACTAGTTACCATTTAAACAAGGAAAGTATAGATTTTCCACTTTTTACTCTTCGTAGGTTTTTTATAGATTTTCGGTAAGGGCTTTCTCAACATTTCTCTGCTTGCGAAAACTTTCCGCAGCAACTACCAATTTCTACGGTAATTCGACAAGTCTGTGCCCAGAATTCGCGAACTGAAAACGAAGGAGACGCAGGTGTCCGACAAACACTGCCGGCTTCAGTCGGCAAGCTCAAGACTACAAGTGAATGCTGTCTGCCTCGGGTTAATTCCACAGGCGTTCGGGGTTTTAAGCCACTGTTTGTTACACTCAGAATGCGTGAGGAGTCGCTGTACCCTATCATCCTTTATTATTTTAAAAAGGGAACAAAGCTCTTAAACTTGAAAAAACTTAAAAAATCTCTCAACAAGAAAGCACCTCGCACATCAGCCAGCTACTCCCCATCCCGTTTCTGGTTTCTTCACTCGGGTCCCTGGCAGCGCCTGTCCCCGCCGACCACCTCGAACAAAGCGGACGGCCCCGGGACCCCGGACCCTGAACCCACCGCCTACCCCACCGTGCCGCACACACCCGACCCTCCCCGTCAGTTCCCTCCGCGAGGCGCCCTCAGACGCCTCAGAACTCACCTCCCGCGGGCCGGCGAGTCCCGGGAGCGCGGCGGACGCCACTGAGCTGTGGCGGCGGCCGCCTGGGGCGAAGGACGGGTGGCTGTGGCCCCTCCCCCAGGCGAGTCCGCGCGCCGCGGGCGCCTCACCAGGCAGGGGCACCGCGGCAGGCAGGCGCGCGGCCCCCGCCCCAGCTCGCTGCGGGTCACGTGAGCCAGAGCTCCTGCGGCTCTCCTCGCCCCCCTCGCCTCCTTCCCCTGTCCAGGGGTCCCGCAACACCGCCCAGCCTCCGCCGCTCCCTCCTCTGCGCCTGCGCCCCAGCTCGTCTCTCCCATTCAAACTGACAACGCCCCGCGTCTTTCGGACCCGCCAATGGCCGGCGTGGGGGAGGAGGGGCGGGGCGGGCGACGGCGTTTTTGCTTCTGGGGTCCCGGACGGGCGTGCGGGAGGGGAACTGGGCTGAGGGAGACTTTGGGGGGCTTGGCCCCCTGCCGCTCCGGGGCCTATCCTCAACCGTCAAGTTGAAACTGCACTATTATTTCTTCTTCAGACGCTGAAGGGTGGAGCGATAAATATCTCCCAGCAAAATGTTAAGAGAGGGTGGGCGCCGAGAACTAATGCGATCTGCGCTTAAAGCTCCGACGGCCTGGAGAATGAGTTTCCCAAGCGGCATATGCGGGATATTTAAGAAAAAAGAGGGCTCTGTGACAGGAACAGAGGGACCCGTGTCAAAGTCGAACAAGGCAGCCTCAGTTCTTGCGGGCCTGTCACAATTCTGGCGTTTCCATCTGTTAGGAAAGCAAACTTGTGTTGACTGCAGAGTTGCCGGTTCCCAGGAAAACTGGGTGGCAGTCTACTCAGTTTCAGGCCAATGCATTCCAAACACACTGGGAAGAGTAGTTTTATTTCCGTGCACCTCCTCTCCACGTCAAGTTTAACCAAAAAACTGGTCTCAGTTTTTCACAAAAATAGCAAGTCTCTCTGGGCTGAAGAATCAGATGAATTTAATTAGATTATTTCTCAACTATTTCTCCACCAAAATGAAATTTACATGTTTCTGCAGACTTAAAGAGGTGTTAGAGAAATCCCCACTTTCAGTATCTCTCTGAATCATGGCCATAACCAGTGATTCAAGCAGCATTTCTCTTGCTGGGAATGTATTGCTGCAAATTGGTTAAAATAACAGCCTTGGCATCAGACTAGACATGGATTCGAGTTCCATCTCTGCCAATTATAGGCTGATTGACCTTAAACGAGTTCCTTATCCTTCTTTAGCGTTAGTTTCCTCAGCTGTAAAACACGGGAAAGAAATCCTATTGTAATATAAGGGTGGTTGTGATGCTTCAGTGAGGTGAGTTTTGTTAAGGAGTTAACATAGTGTCTGACTGCTTAATATATGGTACTTATTATCGACAACTACCTTTAATATCAGGTACTTATAAATAACAACTGAATTAGATGGCTGTAACATTTCAGAGGTAGGTATTATAATACCATCTTACTCATAAATTCTTTTTTGGGTGTTGATAGGAAAACCACAAAGGAAGTGCCTTATGTCAAATTCAACATGTCCAAAAATAAATCATTATTTCCCGCCTGCAGATCTTCTCTTACACATAAGACTTTCTATCGCTGGTATTAGTTATCTCCATCTTACTCAAGTTAAATTAGTTTTTAAATTATCTTTTAAAAGGCATAACTCAGATTATGTCACTCTCCTATTTGAAACTTTTAGTTTTCATTTAGATTACATTCATTTCAATTTCTCATTTGATTTAAAATAAAATCTAAATTCCCTATCAGGGCCCACAAAGCTCTCAGTCATCTTGCCCTACTCACCTCTCTCCTCTCCTGTATGTCTCTCTCCTAGCTTACTTCCCTCCAAATACACAGGTCATTCCTCCATCCCTAGAATACACTTGATCTTAGCCAAAAGGCCGATTCTCCATCCCTAGAATCCTTAGCGATTCTCCATCCCTAGAATAGACCAAGCCTCAGGGTTCTCTCAGGCCCTTCTCCCTGGCAGTTGCCCCTGCCAAGATTTTTCCCCTCTGGCCCTTTAAATGGCTGGCTACTTTTCAGCCCTCAGCTTTCAGCTTATTCATTACAGTATTTAGCAAGTATTTATTAAGTTTCTGCTATGTGTCAGGAACTGTTCTAGGTGCTGGGAATATAGTAATGAGCAAGACCAAGCACAGCCCCTGCTTTCATGGAGCTCAATAAAAATAATGAGAAAAATATCAGGTTGTGACAGGTACCAAGCAGAGAATTCAAAATAGGGTGATGTGAGAATGAGTGACTGAAAGACTGCATTGAGGGTCAAGGTAGAAAGAAAGTCCACTTTGGGAAGATGGTATTCAAATCAAGACTTTAATTATAAGGAGCCAACTTTCAAGTAAAGCTCAGGGAAGAGAATATTAGGGAGAGGGAACAGCTAATGCAAAGCCCTGTGAGGGCAAGCTTTGTCTGGGAAACTGGAAAAAGACCACTATGGCTTAAATGAAGGTGAGGTAGAGAAGAACATACAAAGTGAAGTCACACCAGATCATGTAGACCTCTGTAAGCCAGGATAATGAGTTTGGGTTTTATTTTCCAAATGTTATAATAGCCAGAGGACGATTTTAAACTTGAGAACAACTTCATTTGTTTATATTTTTAAAGGAGTACTTTGAAACAAAACCAGAATCTCAGACATTCTGTAAGACAGCCCAGACTCTTCATAAACATCATTGTCATGAAAAACAAACCAATCAAAAAAAGGTACATGAATCTTTATGGAGTCCTAAGTCAGAGAGGGAGGGAGAGAAAGAAAAAGAGAGGGAGAGAGATACACATTTTATTTTATTTTTCAGTAAACATTGAATCCAGATGGATATCTTCTCTTTATTGAATAAGCCAACAGAAAACATTTCATCACAGGGCTTATGAAATCCCCCACAAAATAAAGGAGAGGGAACCTCTTTCTGAATATTCAGATGGAGAGTAAAGTCTGAAACAACTTACTGCAGAAGTACAAGAACATTCCAGGGAACATCTGCATAACGGGATGCAGGAAGACCTGGCATAAATAAGAGAGACACACATTTTAGAAGCAATTGGGGAAATTTGAATGTAGATAATATATTACATAGTATTAGAGATTTACTGTTAATTTTCCTAGAGGTGACATGGAATTATGGTTACATAGGAGAATTTTTTTTTTTTTATTTTTAGGAAATGCAAGCTGAAATACTCAAGGATAAAAAAACCATCACTTCTGCAACTTATATTCAAATGGTTCATCACTTCCGCACCTTATATTCAAATGGTTCAGCAAAACACAGAGAAAGGAGAGAAATATAAACTAAATATTAGCAATTAGATCTAGGTGAAGACATATCTCTTATTGTTGTACTATACTATTCATGTATTATTCTTTTACATTTGCTAGAAATTTAGAATATTTCAGAATAAAAAGTAGTGAAGAAAATCACTCTGTAGACTTCCATGTCTGACAGTAGTAAAGCAGATTCCTTATTCAACTCTCCCACTGAAAACAACTAAAACAACTTAAAATGCTTTTAAATATTTTTTAAAAAATAGAAAATTTATTAATGAACCAGCATTCGGATTAGGATTACTCAGAAGCTAGGAACTAGTAAAATAGATTAGCAGAGGAACTTGAGTTTTAGTTGTCATGGTCTCATGAAGCATGGAAAAAGGAGACAAAGGTCAAATCCTACCAAGATGAGGAATCCAATGAGAGACTCCACACATAGGTCAGGATCCCCTAGATCTTTTCTTACTGTCTTTTACCAGAAGACAACAAAAGAAAATTACCTGTAATCATCCTTAGTATAGAATGAAAGAGGAAATATCTCCTCTGAGATTTTTTTTTTTTTAAACCAAAGGCAATAATCTGCTCTACCTGGCTTTGTCTGAAACTCAAGCACATAATTTAAAGTGGTTTCAGGTTGGTGGTGCCTCCAGCCAGCTGGCAAAGGTAAACCAAATCACCTCTAGAGAAAACCAACTGCTATAGACTGAATATTTGTGTCTCCCCCAAATTTTATGCTTAAACTTAATTCCCAATGTAGCAGTATTTGGAGATAGGGTCTTTGATTACGTCATGAGGGTGGAGCACTCATGAATGAGATTAGTGCCCTTATTAAAAAAAAAAAAAGACCCTAAAAGCAGCCTCTTCCACAGGGACACAGTGAAATGACAGTGCTCTGAGAACCAAGAAATGGGCCCTCACCAGACACAATCTGCTGGCACCTTGACTTTAGACTTCCCAGCTTCCAGAACTGTGAGGAATAAATGTTTTGTTTAAGCAACCCAATTTATGGTATTTTGTCAGCTCAAATGGACTAAGACACCAACTTAATCCAGACCCAAAAAATTTACACAGAGAAAGTTCCAAGAATTATTCTTAAACAAGAATTAGCAGGGAAAGACAACGGAATCAAACTCTTAAAGACATTGAAATTGGAATTACCAGTCATAGATTATAAATATGTTTAATATATTTAAAGCAATAAAAGATTGAAAATATAAATAAAGAGCAAAGTTCTGCCAAAAATGAATAGGCAGACTTAAAAAAGAATTCAAGGGGTGCCTGGGTGGCTCAGTCACCTAAGCATCTGACTTCGGCTCAGGTCATGATCTCACGGTTTGTGAGTTCGAGTCCTGTGTCAGGATCTTTGCTGACAGCTCAGAGCCTGGAGTCTGCTTCGGATTCTGTGTCTCCCTCTCTCTCTGCCCCTCCCATGCTCACACTCTGTCTCGTTCTACTTCAAAAATAAATAAACATTAAAAAATTTTTTTCAAATAGCAAGTATTGGCAAGGATATAGAGAAAAGGAACACTCATGCACTGTTGGTGGGAATGTAAACTGGTGCAGTCACTGTTGAAAACAGAACAACAATTCCTCAAAAATTAAAAAAATAGAAATACCGTATGATTCAGTAATTCCACTACTGGGTATTTATTTACCCAAAGAAAATGAAAACACTAGTTTGAAAAGATATATGTACCCCTGTATTTATTGCAGCATTATTTACAATAGCCAAAATATAGAAGTAACCCAACTGTCCATCAAGAGATGAATGGATATCATAATCTCATATATATATATACATATATATATATATATC